TCAAACGGTTTCATTGAGCACCCCAGCTGCACCTTTAGAACTCTCCAACTGGAGCACTATCGTGTTGTCGAGTTAAAGCTCATTGCACCTCTTCTCTCAAAATTTGCCTCCTCACTTTGAATTATTGACAGGCTAAACATTTTACATACATCAACGAACGATTGCATGGAGAATAGAGTTTTACAAAATTTGTTTTAAATCACCGAACTCCTATTAGGAACAGATTATGTTTAAGGTGTTCTTAGGACTTGTTTTAATTTTGACAAGTGAAATTCTTTTGGAGATGAAAATTCAGGGTAAAGTGCACTTTACATGAGGTTGGAACCTTGCTACTAAAAGAAACTAATCACTGAAGCATTGGATCATCGTATGGTTGCAGCGTTTCATTCCCATGAAATCACAATGGAATAAACAAAGGATAAATGGTAATTGATGCGTTACCTCTAGTCATATTTTCACAGTATGGACTGTTTTCGACTAGATGTGAGACTTTCAGTCTATGCTGTTGTTATAGGGACGCTTTAACTGTGAACATTAACATTAACGGCCAAATCAGGTCCAATTAATCATAAAAGGAGCCAGAGATTTGTTTGGGAGAAATAGCTAAGTCAAATAAGGCAACAATATTGTGTGAGAGCCAGGCTTGGAAAAGAAAAAGTATATTTACATAGAAAGCCAAGTCCTTTGACCAATCCTACACTCAGGTCACCTATTAGCTTGTCGTAGATGCAGCTCTATATTCCAGCGAAGTAGACTACTTAAAAGTCTCAAACATTAAAAACCACAGCTGCTTAACACATCGCTACTAAAAAGGGACATATCATTACAAAGTTCTTAAATAGCAACCGAGATTCAACCCTTAAGTTACAGTCGGGAACTTATATGCAAACACAACCGATTTATAAACGAAAACAATGTTACACAAGAGGAAAGTTTGATAAAGAATGCAAAAATTAATTGACTGATGTGACCTCTTTTAACTTTAGGCCATTACGAGTTAAAATTATGTACTAGAGGTGAATTGTATCCTTCAGGAGGAAGAGAAGCTTTAATGAGGAGTAAAAATGCCGCTTTTCTTAGCAGGAGTAAATAATACCGCCCACACAAAATTTTGACGCAGAACACTCAATTGCCGAAAAGACGAAAATGAAGGATTTGATTACCAGTACAAATAACGAAAGGTGCTCCAAACCATGAATAGCATAGACATTGCCATGCATTGCCAACATAGCGCGAATAGTCAGTGGTCGAAGTTGCCTGGCCGAGTGTAGAGCCCTTGCACCTGATACTGGCTGAATGGAGTCGTATCGCGTCGGGGGCACGAAACGGCGCGGAGCTTACCCGGCGTAGGCAAAAGCAGAATTTTTATCACTGGTTAGCGCTTAGCACTAGGTTCATTGCCCACAAGTTGAGTAAAATCATGCAAAATCCTTTTAAAGTAGTCGTCTTGCATATGTTTAGGATACGGAAACGGTATTCGAGTGTCAAAATACCATTGAGAGCTCAACTAGCAATAACCACTTTGTTTTAGCTAACTTATTTGGGTTGGACAAAACAACGCTGCTTTAAATTCAAATCACCGTTTGCAGTTTAAAAGCTTACTAATACCAAGAAAAAACACCAGTTTTTCGAGGCAAACCGGTGGAATATCGTCAATAAACGGTGTTACCACATATGGATAAGCTTCAATGGGCAGTGAATTGCGGTAAGTGCCTAACTTAAGCTCAGTGGTTCACAAGTTTTTAAGTCAAAACGAGCAAATAATAGTAAATGCACGTACGCTTAAGTTAAAACAATCTCGACAGTCTTGGGTTTGTTGAAGAAAAGTGGGTAATTTAAGCCAAGAACCCATGCCTTAATGTAACGTATCCTTTCGTTACCCATAAGTGAGATGTCGTGTTGATTGAAAAATTCACAAAACAATTGCAAACCACAAAGTGATGAATTCTGTAATTGCAGACGTCAGTCAAGGCAATGTTAATTGTGCTTACTCTTAACACCGGAGTGTGATTAAATGGCTGCGCCAAAATCAACTCCGAAACTTGTGCTAAAACACGGAAATGAAAAGTGAATGAAAACTCTATTTAATGAAGGTAGAATAATAATGTTTTAGTAGATATTTCGAGAGACTTGCCACCTTCGTTCCACACACCGATATTTACGGCAATACCTTTGACAAAATATCACGCTTAATGACACAATCCTTAGGAATTACATGATAGCACCGAGATAACTTTCAAGGGTTTTACTTTGAGGACTAATGCCAACTGCTGTGAAACGAGACTTCGAAGGCTTCTTGAAGAAATAGTCAACCTTATTTTGGGAAGTTGTTATCAAAGAAAACTAATGCTCACCACGAAACCCGAGAGAAGAGTTGCCTTTTTCACTGAAAAATGAAACGAAATTACAGACCGGCAATGTCAGTGAATGATACCAATCATTTGCGAATGAACTTGGCATAAAATCGAATTGCGGTAATATAGACGTGGCAGAGACTTCACGGATAAATAAGGTGGTCGACTGGCCACTTAGACTTTAGTGAATAAAAGGGAGAACTGGAAAAGTCGTAACTGCGTGATCAGCAGGTATTGAGAGCGGATACCAGTTCTACCTGCCTTTACGTACGCAGAATACGGCGAAGCGTTAAAAGCAATTTGGATGGCATTTCTTGCCCCATTAGGTCTCCTTCGATTTTGTGGTGGGTAAGCATTTATCAAGGTATTGAATTGCAATAAATGCGAAAAATAGATGAAATCAACTGTGTAATAGTCAGACTAAAAAAATGCAACATCATTTTGACTTTAAACGCAAAAGCCACCAAGAAACATGTGTTAGCTTAGAAGAAAGTATTTCTTTAAACAATATCATTTTCACACTCAGAATTTTACGGTGACCATTGAAGCCCATGAAAAATAGCAAATTCATTCATGTTTGTAAAGCCTCTGCTACTGTGAATGAAGCAGTAAAGCCTAAACTGTTCTCAAATGCCGTAAATGCTACTTTTTTTACACAGCAGTTGTAAATTATAGATATAATTATGCACCAAACCAAAGACATGGAGCATCTTGTGTAGGTGGTGCTTTGTTCCTCGGATACTATACCCACTTACATCGCTTGCATGTTCCTCATGCAGATTCACACCGTGTACTTATGCTTGATTTTTAATGGGAATATGGCTCCAATGAACAGTATGCATGCACTGCAGTTCTATCACATTTACTTTCAGTTACTTCGTCAATTCGGAGTAATAATTGATCCCCCAGTTGAAATATCTACAGTCGTCGAATCTTTTAACATTTACAGCCAATGCACGGAGTGAGTGCCGCAACTTAGTGTAATTTCGTTTGTAAGCACGCTGTCACCGTTTTAAAACCTTCAAACAGTACCGCGGCATAATTCATATTATGATTAATATATCAGTCAGCATTACTAGTCAGCTTTGACATTTAGTTTACTTGGTCGAATTTACGCAGTTCTGTTCTCTAAATCTATTTTAATTATAGGTTACTGTATTGTGCAAATGTTTATGTAAAGCAAAACTATCTAATATTTCATTTATTTAGAATAAACATTGGAAGTTAAAACTAGTATAATGCACGATTCAACATACCATAAATTTCGTGATAACTTGTTACAATAATTTTGATACAACACTTTGAGATCGACGAAGACTAATAAATAGCCCTTCAATATTCAGGTAGGAGGACAGAACACACAATATAACCCACTATTTGTCCCAGAGAAGCAGTTAGGATTAACAAAAAAAGAAATCAGAGCTCAATTATACGAACGCAGTTTGCAATATCCAAGCACAATTGTAAGAGCCTTGGCTGATCATACCTTTGAGGTAGGCAAAACGGCCATTTAATTTATTAAACTGACTTACCCCTGCGGATGAACCGTTGGAGATACTCTCGGCATGGAAGTTTAGCCTCAAACCCATGGCCTGCGCTTTGCAAAGAATTTGCCTGGACTGTTCAACGGTGAAGAAACCTAGACGTGAAGTAATATCGGCTGACAACTGTGCCCTTTTTTCTAAATATGTAATATTTCCTTGCACCCACATGTTTTTGATGCACAAAAACTTCTAATGATACTCGCGTTTATATAATTATGAATTTTGATTCCGCTAATTAGGCGAGATCTCCAAGTGGTCAAACTACTTATCAAAAGCGACCCAGTCGTTTTATCAGGAAGTAGCTTCATAGCGTTTTTATCACCACTTTAATTTAGATATACCAACATTCAACAAGCAGTGAAAGTAGCTTTATACGCAAGTAGCATGAAAAGATCTCACTTAAGAAAGTATTTGAACCCTGGTATTGGCGTTTCATAGTTGTATGGAACGTACAGGGATGCACTTCTTTATTACTATTAGTGCAATTATTATAAATGGGATCTTTGTCAAAATCCACCGTATTTAGTATGCGTAAAATGAGAAGAAGCAAAAGGTGACAATCCTCTAAAGAGCACTGTAAGCATACGTTCGATGAAATTTTATCGGTAAGTTAAATGAAATTTACCGTAAAATTCACACTTAACCATTTTGAACAGCGAATGCGCAGGAAACTAAATTGAAGCAAGTTCATTTAACTAAGTGATAATACAAATATCCGTCAGGACATCTTATCGACAAAATAAGGTTTAGGATGATAGGAGTTGAAAAATACGCGGAATATTTTAATTTAAAAAGCAGCATTAGGACCAAAAATGAGAGGATGCATTACCTTCGGCACACTTTACGTCAACACTGTCGACGATGATTTCCCCATTTTCAATCGAGCGTTGCAAATCGGGCAATCTTGTGTTGACAACGTCTTCTACGATCGAGTCAGATGTTAAGTTCCTGGAAATTTAACATTAATATACATGAACCTTTGTTTTAAGCCAATCGAATCATTTACCGGTAGATATGAAAGAAATACTTTATTAGACGTTACGCTAACACTTATGCTGTGCTAGTTGTTTGGTTTCGCTAAGGTAACTAAAACTAGCGTGGGAAGTTCTTAATGAAAGTTCATTAGTCTTAAAAAAACAAACATCTAGATATTGGAAGTCATTTGAAGGAAATATGATTAAATTGCATATGCCTTACAAATAAAGACTCTTTAGGCAAAACCACGTCTATGGGTATTTTGATACTTTGATGAACACCGAGAGGAAGGCCCACACCAGCACTGTAAGGGAGCCCATAAATTATCGCAATTCATTGAGGTCGGTCAGATTTATGTAAAGTGGAATTGTTTTCCATTTGACGAAAAATGACAGTTTCCTCCCCATGTATTCGCCACATGAAGTAAAGATGAAACACAAACAACCTATCGGTAGGTTCTAAGCGACTTAGAAGGCAGTTTATTTTGTCAATTTGTCTTTATTATCACTTATGTAAATGCCTTCCCAGACCCGGATGATGGATAAAACTCGGGTACTATTTGCCTTATAATGCATTATAGAAACAAAAATTTTGGATATGGCAAAGCTGGAGGAAAAATTGGCATGAATAGAACAAGAAGGGAAACTGTGTTTAAATAAAGGGAATGGGCATTAATTACAGTTTTGTTTCGGTTTACAACAAAAAAAAAACAATGCCAAATTTCATACTTTGATGCATACAACCAAAAATAATGTGGATTCTCTTTAAAACTGAGCATTTACGCCAGTGCTTTGTCTCCAACTAAGCTCGTTTTTACGCATGAAATTCATACATAGCAACCGGTTATAATTTCATGTTAATGTAGGGAGGTCACCACAGGACCAACAAGAAATAATCGGAAATTAAGGGTCTTTAGAGGTTTAACATAAAAATTAACCTACTTTGGCAGTATGCTAGCTGCGAAGTAAGTTATGGATATATCCAATGGGATCGTTCGTTTAAGCTTTGTAAGGACTCGGAGAATTTTCTTCTCAGTGGCCCAATTCGAACTGTAGTCGGTTTTGCACTCAATAGTGGTTGTTCCTTTGCTTGCCATTGACTGTAATGGGTAGCAGAATTACGACCAGACGGATTTTGATTACCAAAACACACAACCACCTTTAATGTAAATAAACCAATGATAATAAAAGCAACAAACACAGGTGCACGGAAAAAGACCAGTGTGATAACATGACGTTTTAATGAACACCGGGACTATAAAGTGGGCGAAAAATCAAGTTGACACACAACAGCGGTAGATGACGTGACACAATAGTGAACACCAACTAAGCATTATCCGGTGCAGCGAAAAAACTAACGATAAATGCCTACTTTTTCCGCCCCAATTTTGTAGAAAGTCAAATGGAAACCAAATTCATGGTTAAACAAAAGAGAACTGAGCCCTTCAAAACGCAATAGAGTTGTAAGAGCAAAAACACTAAGATGCTTATGCCCACTTTGATTCTTTCAAGAGTGGCTGCATAGAGACTGTCTTCGCTTGCATTGGCAGTCCGCTCGACGGTGTAGTCCGAGTGGAAAGAGTTTACACTGTCGCTCAACTCCATGTAGGAAGCACCAGCGACCTTTTGAAAGAAATCGTCCTCACGATCACCACCCCACACCGGGTAAGTGTGCGCATCAGTGAAACCTAAATCAAATTTAGGGAGATGGGAACAATAAAAAGCAGAACTTTTTACCTTAGCTGCAGTTTGAGTTCTGTTGTCCTGCAAAACAGTCGCTAAACCAAAAATCGTACGACTGGCAAGAGATTTTGGCTCAGTATGCGAGTTAGCAAAGGTGTACGAATAGTAAGGTTTCGTAACGGCACTTTATTTGCAAACTACTGTTCCCCCCTTCCGACAAATCACCCATATAATGCATTAAACTAACCCCAATTTATCAGATAAGGCAATTTGAAGTTATTCTCAAGAGTAAACAAAATAAAATAAGCTAATTTAATAGAGCTAAATTTGTTCGGTTTGGCTAACATCGTTTAATTTGTTATTATCCAAGGAATAGATTAATCAAGTTCCAATGTAAACAAAATTCAAATCATGAATTATTCAGGTGACTAATTATCCCTCCAAACTACCAATCAAGCTGTTCAAATAGAGTCAAAGTAAAGGCGGAAAACTTCAAGCAAAAACAGTTTTTAATCAAGCTGAATCAATTTCAAGAATGGTAGGTTAGCCAAAACAAATTCTGGGCCGTAGATTTAGGTAAATTGTTAGCAATAAATAAAGTCAAAAGATCACTGTGTTTAAGAGGGCTACTAATAAGATAAGCCATTTGAAAATACTAAGGTATGGAGTAGCACAAATATTGCAAGTAATACAGGCAGGCATGAATGCTTGATTTTTTAATGAAACTCTGTGCCTACTACTGAAGCCTGACTTGATTTAATTTGCATTCATTCTGGATTTACTATCAACGCCGGACTATGACCTCATTGCGCCCATATCCATGACCGGTGTTTGAATTATTTGGAATCAGCAGGAGCACAGACACCTTTTATTCGCTCAAATAAGCGACCAGTCCAAAATTGCATTATTATTTCGGGTAATTCCCATTTTTTACGCAAAGTGTGGTCGATTTTCCTTTTTATCTGAATCCACTAAGAATGGACAACTTAAAATTCCTGCCTTGTGTAACATGTCCAGTTGTTTTTAATTCCTAAAACTTTCGATGGCTGAAGTGTGGATATAACGAGGCCAGAGGTAAAGAGCCAACAATTAACTTTCGTACTGGTAGCTAAATGGCCCTAATGGGAAAAGAGAATGAATGGTACCAAGATCCTTACTCTACTAGCCATAGGAAACAAATATAACCTCTTTTTTGTTGCTTGAAGAAAACTAAAACTATTTCCTCAAAATTTTAACTAAATTAGTTGATAGAAATTATTAGCAACTCCCAGAGATAACATTAAAAGGGTCTCTAGACAAAAATAATTTACTGGCAAAGTACCTCGAAAAGTGAAAGCCTCTGACATCATAAACCGTTGATAAATAAATCCACCTTAAAAAACACGACTTGACACTCGAGAACTTTGATCATTATCATAACTATTTGGAATTATATTAATAGCGGTCTATTGGGCATGCATTGTATCGAGTTTTCAATCTAACTAGTAATTTTATGACTTTCAAGCGATTTTCGAAATGCGAAATTTATCAATTAATCCTGTTACAACACCGGTGGCGGCAATGCGTGTAACAAACGGAATTAGTCGCAACCACAAACCAAGGTAGAAAAATAGTTCACTAGCTTTTTCGCGCTTCTTTTCTACAGTAAAAGTTCTATGAAAAATTTACTCAAGCGTTTACTTTTCCTGTGATTATAGCTTCCTTTTTAATGTAAATATTCGGCCATACTACGGACACAACAAAAAATGATAAAAATGCTCTTGGCACACGAATATACCACTTTAAAAATAAACACAACAGCCGAATTTTATTAAATTAATGAAATCGGGTGCCTCTTTTGAACAGTACCATTCTGCTTGTAAAGGAGGCTCCTAGTGCAAATAATGGATTTTAGGTAATTATGTGGAGCGTAGCACTAGTTTTCCAAGGCACTGCCAATTATGATGGATCAAATGCAATCGTGAATGACATAACTATTAAAGATCCCGACGTTAAGGTTTCATCTAGATGGATGGCACTTGCGCCTTTTTCGGGGGGTAATGCGTTCCCTAAAGCAGGCTTCATACTTCAAAACGACGGCTTCCAAAAGCATTACCCTTTGAAGCACTATAGCTAAAAGGAAGTCATCTACAATATTGGCTTTAAGAGATAAATGCTAAATATTAGGTCAGTGCGAGCAGAACAAAATAACCCAGAAATGTTTTTTTTTTTAAAGTAGCGCTGGTCCAACCAACAAGATAGTCGCAAATGAAGTACTTAATTTGCAAGGATTTGTAATCTTGTCAGTCAAGAAATTTGCCTAAACAACTAAAAATCAGGAAGGAAAAATTGCTTGACGAATTACTCATTCGTATCTGTGAGATAAATCATAACAAAACTTTACGACGATTTAGCCTACCTGGCAAAACTGCGCCGCCTTTGCAATCAATTACGGTATTGTATTCGTAATTTGGGCAAATAACCACGTCTTCCGAACCGTAGGATAATATGTTTCCATCACTAAAACAAATTGCAAAATTCAATCGCATTGATCGAGACTGATAGAATTAGTTAACTATGAGGAAAAGTAATAGGCTTAGATACATATAGTTCATAAATTAAGGGTGATTGAAATTTCTCAGTTAAATGAACAAATCTATCAATGGCACGAGTGGGGGACATCGGGAAGGGCGCTGTGGGGGCTATACGGTTTTGGGGTTTGATTTAAAAAAAAACTCTAGAAGAGAACGCAGGGCGAAAAACGTCCTATCAAGGGAGCTGCAGCCCGACATGCGTGAAAAGTTCACTGTGCCTGTGGCTGATTCAGGCTCAGCAAAACACATGGAGACAAACGAAGGTGATGAATGGCAATGTCGAGGCAAGGTTGTTACGTGTGTAGCAGCTAGAGCCTACCGTGCAACGAGCAACTGCTCCATACTTTCCGACAATTCAAGCCCGAATGACAGTTACCATTCCACCACATTTAGCAAAATTTTCCCAGAGCAATGGGACCAAACGGCTCTCCGCTACTGCACCCAAACTAGACTAGGACGGGTTTCGGCTTCAGCTTCTGCATCCACCCTCATTAACAATTTGCGAAGAAATGCGTTTAAACTTTTACAACTCATTATATGACAGTGAGAGAGATGAAGGTATCAGAAAACATTTCGGATTGTGGACAGAAGTGTAGAAAATACTGATACCATTTGCAGGAAAATTTCTGCTTTCAGATAATTATACAAACGCGTAAGGCACCATTTACATGAAAAAGTGGTGTCATAATTGTATTGTTTTGCCTTGGCCAAATTGATTGTGTTTCCAATTATGCCATTTTTGCAAACTATAACTGATATTCAGTGTTATTTGTTAGCGGTATTTGCAATACTCAAAACTAAATGGCATTTGCACAAAATCAGACTTTATTGAAAATATGGGGCAACACATTTTTACATTGGAGGTGAGTACTAACATCCAAATCTATTCTCAATTTAAAAAAGCAGACAACTACTTATTCTTGAGTCACGTAAGGCTGCCTATTCGAGAATATATTAGGACAAATGAATCTGGTTTAATGATTGTTAATGTTTACCAAAGGTAATTACCGTAAACAAATATGACCACTACCTTCATAAAGTGCGAAAAATATAAGATGCGATGTTAAATTTCAAGCTCCTCTGGAATTCATTAGCGGCAGTGTTTTTTCTTTCACCCATCATGCGGAACTCCTTACTTTAAATTTATGGCTCATGCCATGGTCTAGATCCCAATTAACTGTTCCAATCGACAATTATACAAAGCTTTCCATTATGTTAACGATGGATTAAATAGCCAAAAAAACACAAATTATCAACCACTGCCTGGAGCCGAATGATTATCTTCCTTGATTGTTAAGAGGCCTAAATTGAATGTAAATGTAGCTTCGGTCAGAAGTTGCGTGACGCCTTTGAAAACAGTTATGCTCTTGCCGGCACTTCGCATGGTAATCACTGCAGACATAAGGGCTTCGGCATGCGGCTATTTTATTTTAAATGTCTCCAATGAAGGAGTCGTCTTACACATAGAGTTATTCATTTTCTCCAAGAAATCCCATTTAATTATTTGGTAGCTCTCGCTTACCAGTCTGCTAACGTGAACGAGGTTTAGTCCTATCTTCATTTAGTGCCAGTATTTGACAATGAGAAGTATGCTCCGAATAACTTATTTCCTTTGTCAATGTAACTTGGTAATTACAAGCAGTTATGTGTTAGTACTTATTCGATAACTAGTTGCTGCTTGCTGCCATCTAAGTTTTCAGACGAAATGCGTACTGAAAACCGGCAGATAATCAGCAGAGATAACGCCAATAACGTAAGAGCGAATGTAAACCTTATGGAGTGCAATAAAGATGACAATAAAAGTGGCTCATTTAAAGCATCATCGATAGAATGATTAAGTCAGTAGAAACGCACGCCTTCACGGAAGTAATTATGTACTTTATTTCCATCATCGGAACGACCGGTTCTTAAACAGTAATTTCGAGACCTTTAGTTGGAACGCGCATCCTTCCACAAATAGATGAGACAACTTTGTGGAGAAAATACATGCTGTCTTTATACAGATTGAAAAAAAGGAAATGGATAAATGAGGTGCAACGGCTGTAGAAAAAGTGTTAAGAACTAGTCCAGGACACCATGATTTCTAAACCATTGCTCTACATCTAAAAAAACTATTAGGATCAAAAATTGGAACTGCATCTAGGATAAAAGTGTTGTCAAGGCTCTTTTTTCCTTACGTATTGGCGTACAACAAAGTACTTACGCCATTTCCTTTTGCGCTGTTTAGTGTTATGCGATCTTGCGGTCATTATGAAACTTAGTTTTCAGGGTTGCAAAAGACGCAAATCTGCTACAGTAAGACTCCTTCAGAATCAAATAGAAATATTTGCAAAAAGTCTTAATTGCGATACAAATATCCAAATTATTACAAATTTTAGGCAGATCCCACGCCAAGGATGAGAGCAGTGAACCAATTTCTGAATATGAACGGACTATTCTCATTTAATTAAATCGTAAACGTCCTCTGTTTGAGCGAATCCTACTCACGAATGTTTGTCACAATCTGGCATTAACAGATGCTTACCTCCAGTGTTGTTTTATTAGCTTTAACAGGTAACGAGTGTTTTTGTTTCAAAAAAAGACCAGAGAAATAATAAAACTAAGGCAAGGATTATCTTATCCTCCCTTGACATGCAGTTTAACCAATTTTCATTTTACACACGGATAATCTTGATCTCGATCGCTGTAAGGAAAAAAATCTGCATCACATGTGTCTGATGAATGGTTGACACGGAATAATGCCTGTCTACGAATTGGCATTCAAAGCAATGGCATTGCCTCTCGTTCTTCCTGCTGAATGACACAGGAAGAAATAAAGATATTACATGAGACGATACTTTGACACGTAGAGTTAGGTAGAGTCAAATGGAGAAATAATAAGAGTAAAATAAACTAGAGTGCCTAATTTTAATGATGGGATTTGCTAAAAATATTAGTATTCTGCACTCTATGCATGAAATAAAAGTATGTGGAACCAGTAAAATCTAACAATCACATTACTTTTTTATAAATAGTTTAACTGTAGGTAAAGTAAGTAGGAAAACTCTAATTTGGAACTGTCTTTTAACTTATAGAGCTCAGATCAGATAAACACTTTACTATCTATAAAAGCCGAATCATTTCATTTCGACTGTTATCCCTTGGAATTCACTTGTGACAGATTATCTTAAGAGTAACTTCATGGCAGAAGTGCAAAAAGCTTAACTGCTAAGACGGATTCGCCGCTACTCTAATCTGTGTGTTTGTGCACGCGAAAGAACAACCAAATCGTGAACAATGCTTGGTGAGTGGAGTTCTACTGACACCCATCGATTGTGGAGGCTTGTAGCAGTGTGAACACCGGTCACCATCTATTGATTTCAAATCCATAATTTTATTGTGGAATCATAAGCCTTTATAAATCTTCATTTACTGTTCAAACATTTGGTATGACATTTTTTTCATAAAGATAAAAACATGTATGTCATTTCTTAGGGTGCCATTTAACTTCCCTGATAGACGGAGTTCAAAAGCGACACAGTGAATTAGGTCAACTTAACACTAATGCGGTTAATTAATCTGACTCTTCTCTCCAAAACGAGTAATTTTTGCATTTGTGGATTATGGAACATAAGCCTTAGAATCTCCAAATCCTTCAAACACTTGGTAAAATGGGCATTATCATAGGGTTTAAATTATCCACTCGGAATTCAACTCTTTGCAGTTTTTCTCCGGAAAGGTTAGTTTAAGGTCAAATATAGCGGACATTTCAACGACGGATTTGGTGAGACTTACGCTAAGTAATACGGACAGATACCGATGGCCCACTGCAGACCATTCATAATGGAATCCATTGTAAAACTACTATCCCATTCGCTCATGCAGCTGGTGATTTGATTTAGTGTAAAAGAGTTATCTGTCAAAAGAAACCTACATTCCAAAGATCATTTCCATTTAAATTGCTAGGAAGCTATTTTACCTAAATATTCAAAATGTGACGAAAGAGATTAGTCGCAAGGATCCAATGTGCAGCAAAATATATTTTGCATTTGTGCAAAGGAAAGAAAAACCCATCTTTATAAACGTGCACTGATGACAGAAGAGAAAGATAACTTCAGAAAGTTTCAATGCTGCGCTGATCATGGAAATGATGCCATCAATTCACCAAATTCGCCCCTTAGGAGCTGGGGTGCATTTTTACGCAAAGCTTTGCAATTCAAGCTACGCAAACTGTACCCCAAAATTTTAAAGATGAGATCATTTTGGTAACACTAGCATAAGGTGGTTTTGGAGTACTTCTCGATCGAAATCATTAAACAGCTTCTTCAGCTAAAGTAAATTTATGAATTTATGATCGCGGAACATCGGATTTTATGCAATTCTAGATTGGGGAAAGTGCCCGATCTTAGCGGATTGTCAAAGTAAGCTCTTAAGAATAATGAAAAGAATTCACACAGAGCGAGACAAGGGTACTACTATAAGCACATTATGAGTACAATTATTAAAATAGTGTAGCTATTGGGGTCTCATTTAAGGAAAATAGGATCAAAGTACGTATTAAAATACATAAGATACGCACTAAAGCTGCCATTTTGATGTAATCATTTAGGTTCCTACGGCAATTTTATGATAATTTAAGGCAATGTGGTTAAAATCACTGGGCCACATGTCATATTTAGAAAGTAACATTGCCAATCAATGCACTCATGACCTCTTTTACTAGTTACACACCAAGAAAAAAAAAGAGACTAATCAAACTACAAACCAGAGAGAAGATACCATCATAATTGGATAGATGGTTATAATCATCATGATTAAGGGGTTTGCGAAATAGGTACGAATATCTTAAAGAATAAAGCAGATTTATTGGTTAATGATAGTAATAAAGCAAAATTCTTCCATAATTCTTTGAATAAAAAGTCTAAATATCATCTTTCATTATATACCTTACGTGCTAGGGTGCGATTTCGTGCAATAAACAACCATGCCGAGATGAGTAGCTGGTTTTGGCCCAAGCCTCAACCCACAGAAAAGCGTCCATCACATAGGCTACAGATCGGACACTTCGATAGACAGATCATATTAAGACAAAAACTTTGCATTAGCATTTGTATTACATAAGATCGGAAAAATTATGTCCACCTTAACATTTTACGTAGCAAGTATTTAACAAAGATAAACTCAGAGGATCGATTTAAGGCTTATGAAAGAGCATACATATTAAGCTAAAATATACAAAACAAAACACTGCAAGTGGTAAAATCCCGAAATTTACTATAATGCTAGACTACATCATGGATGATTTTAACCAAATTTTTAACAAAGATTAATGGCGAAGAGCGTGTAAAAGTATTGACAAAACTTTTACATGCAAAGGCGTAAATACTGGATTCGTAACTACCTTAGACCAAGGAATATGCATAAAATTTAATACCTGTCCAAAAGTATGGCATATTTCTCCTTGAAATCAGGGTCACTTGTGACACAAAAGAGGTCGTAACCATCCACCATAAAGGTTTGCTTAGAGTTTCTTGTAATATTAACTATTTGAGAAATGTTTTTGAGTAGGATTGCCATTTCTACAAATGAAAGCATTAAAGTGCAACTCAAGCAGCGATAATTTATTGAGTCAAAGAAATTTAAAATTTTCTACTACGTAAGAGTTAAAAAGCTTGATAACATAAAATAAACCATTCGGAGAACTTATTTAGGATGATAGTGTATTTTTTAATAGAAAACGACTAGACCTTATAACCCAAACCTTATTAGCATTAAAAACGATAACTTGTCCAAGCGCACACACTCTAGCTACATGTTATCAATAAAAAGTAAACAAAAAGTCAATTGCAAATGCTGACAACTCAAAAAACGAACTGACAGAGGGCAGCAGTTACGGAGAAACAATTTGCCAAAATCAGCCAAAATTTCTTGATTAATAAAAAAAGTACAGCTTAAATTACTAAAGCACTTTGCGATAGTTTACAGCAAAGGACTATCCAAATAATTTATACAGCCTTGGAACTACGTTTTACTTTAAACTGTCATACACAAAACATGCCTTGCTGCCTAAAAATTTTGCATGAAAACAGCAAAGCTTAATAAATCTACTTAGGCTAGTTATAAGTGGCTAAATACGTTAAAAAGCAAATTCGACGGTGCACAACACTAACACCAGTGACAGCAGAAAACACACCTATGAAAGTACGCTTTTCTAGGGTTATTTATATTTTAAGCCCTTGGTAAAGTCAAACAAAAAAAAAACATAACCTTAAAAGGTAGTTGTTTAATTGCTTCATGGCAAAATGCTTTAAACTCTCTTCTGCTAATTTTCCTTTTGAGTGATTCGCACATTTCACACTTGTAGTAACGTTGTAATGTATGCCTACCATAATTCTAATTATTGCTTTGATTTATTTTTAGTCATGCATAGAACTACATGGCCACATCAGTCATCACCATTCTGCCATCTGGCGTGACAGCATGTAATTTCCGAGACCTCCTGCATGCTTTAGTGATGTGTGCTCTTCTGCAGTAGTTTGGCTGTTTTTGGCTTCAAGAAAGATTCGGTTTACTGCATATACAACTTTCTAGACATTCTATATTAAAAATATCACTCGATTACTCATTTGCCGATGATATGTTATCGGCAATCGCTTTTTCTATTTTGAATGTAATTGAATTGATTCATTAATTATGTACGACTTTGAAATTGTCTTTTCCTATAATATTTTGACAGCACGTTTGACATGTAATGAAGTCAATTAATATATATATCCGTATCTTATAAGGCTGGCAAGTTATAGTTAAACTAATGTATTCGTTCCAATGTTTAATTTATTTGCCACGATTCGGTTGCATATGTGGCATTAATGTTTATATAACGCTTTTGCAAGTGATCTTTTTATCAGTGTCTCTAGGTCCTAAATGGAAGCTACCAAACTGGAAGTTACCAATTGATGGCTCTCCACTCTTTTATGCGATAATCGTATAGGTATTTTGTGAAAACCCTAAAATTATCCAAAAATTTTGCTTTTACTAGTACTGTAAGGTGAACTAAGACAGCTTTTTTAATGCTGCATAATGCAAATGACCAGTCTGCTGTTGCATAAGATCAGTTATAGATGCCACAGGCACTTGGGTGACTCATGGCACTAGATAGAGATTACGACCATAAATTACGTATTACCTGGTGAAAATTGTCCTGAGTCCGTTGGAATGATAAACTTATTTTGGCAAAATTTCTGAGTACTTAACTTCCACAGGATGGATGATGGCCCTGTTTATGATATCATCCATGTTTTCCAAAGCATCATAAAACACGATGAGTTGTGATTTTTGTTTAGGTGATTGAAACCATATATCCAATTCTTTATAAAGCAACGCCATTCAGTCTGGTTCTGTCTTAGCTCACTGCATCTTTGTTGACCTTTCTCGCATTTACCTCCGTTTTTAACCCTTCTTTCCAAAGGCTGATTTGCTGACGCTAATATACTGCTTGGGGAGGGGAGTGGGCAGGTAATAAAGGTTCCACAGAAAATCAGACTTATCATTCCCTTTGGGCATTATTGGCGTTTTCTGATTCACCAGGTGGGTCGAACCCCATTAAGCTAATACGTATTGCATCTTCCAGAAAGCTCCCAATCTGATTACGACCGAAGTAAAAACAGCCGTTTTGTAATATAAATACATCGTTTGTAAGAATGCAATAGAGTAATTTGTGAAGTCTAAGAAGAGGTATAAGTCTGCATGATAATTGGGTTCAGATCTTAGCTTATTCTCCATGTCAAGACTTATAACCTTATGTAAAATTATCCTTCCTCATGAGTACTAGTGAAAGAAACCGGTGCATGTTCATACATTTCTACATGTTTAATTCTGTGGTATCTAGGACGATAGGCATCCAAACTCAGCTATTTCATGCAGAATGCAGCGAATTAAAACCATAAGCAGCGAAAGGAAGTTCACGCATTCAAACGCTTTTTTTTAGACCAGGAGTGATTATCCCTGACCCCATGACCCCCTGGATGGGTTTCAGAAAAGACATGTGTGGCTAAAGTCTTGCACTATCATTTTTAAGAAGTCAGATTACTCCCCCAGGCCGCTTGAAACTTGTCTGCCAATCAAGCAATTACTGCACGTAATCGTTTTTTTCTTTCTGGACCAATGTAAGACGGGCAACCAACAGCTGTAGCCAATCAGGGCAAAGAACAGTCAACTAGTGCCAGCGCACTTGCACTCCACTTTGCGGCGGCTGTGAAAACGCGAAGCCAAAGTCACACTTTTCGCCCTACAATGCCGGAAAAATCAAGCCTGAGGCCCGAGGATCGGGAGCGCATTGCCAACCTCTTCAAGGAGCTCGATGTTGATAAGGACGGCCGGGTCAGCGTGGCCGAGCTGGCCTCGAAAATCAAGGGTTCAGAGCAGACATCAACAGCAGAGAAAATAATCAGCCGGGGTGACGAAGATCATCCCAAATCGACAATGACCTTCAATGAATTTGTTGATTATGTGACGGACACAGAAACACAGCTAAAGCTTGCTTTCAGACAGATGGACAAAAATCACGATAATGTTGTCGACGCCTCAGAAATACGGGCCGCAATGTTGGATCTGGGTGTGGAAATCGGTCAGAAAGAGGCTGAAAAGCTGCTGCGTAAAGTCGACAAGGATGGGTCTTTGAGTATTGACTTCAATGAATGGAGGGATTTCCTCTTGCTATCTGGTAAAACGCAGCTCCATGATATCTTTCACTACTGGAGACGTGCTTCTGCTGTCGATATTGGTGAACTTGTGCAAGTGCCTGATGACTATACGGAGGAAGAAAAGAAGTCTGGAGAAGCTTGGAGAACACTACTAGCTGGCGGTAAGTGACTTACCAATACATTGCAAATTTTGCCTTCACTCTGGCATTTATAAACCTTATTAAATTTTCAAGTAATTTTTTTACTTTTCATGTCCACGTATTTTAATGTCCTTGTTTTATTTTGTCCTTTCTTCTTTGCAAGCATGTCATTATGATAAAATACTCACGAATCGCAAAGTAAGGGCTGCATGTGGCTTTGGTTCATAATGCTTATGTTTGTGAGAGAATCTGCCTCGCATCAATATTGTCATTTCACTCACAGGTGCTTAGAACATTGGGCCTGTTGCATCCGATCCTGTATGTACTTTTTGTTTCAAAGGCTACTAATAAGCTTAGGGTTTTTATTTCGTATTAATCATGGTTTTTTGTGGAGAACGGTTTACGGAGTCAATCTCTGAACAAACTTTGGCCATCTAACAATCCACCGCTGTATACCAACCTACACGTATGGTTTGACACGAATCTAATACTTAAAGGAACATATGTAGTAAAATACACCCTGAATAATTAAAGCGTGCAACAATTGGTACATGTTGTCTATAAAACGCATACCTTAACCTCCATTTAATCAAATGTACCTAACTAATAAGTGACAAGTAGGCAGAAATCCAATAACAACTCCCTTCGGAAATGCTGCCTTCTTCTAGACAATGTGACCGACTGACATGTTGTGCATTCATGCCATCTTGAGCTGACCTTCTGATTGCAACTCCGCAAAATTCCGTTTGGAGCCATGCGTCTGTTGCCACAACGATTGTGCTTTAAATTATTCTGAATAGATTAACAGAACAAAATCGAATGTTTTGTTTACTGAATTATCTACCTTTTTAATTGATTCGGCTCAATTGGAAATTTTCGATACCGTACCCAATCTCACCTCTCTCTTGTACACTCACGATGGTGAAGGTGCACTAAACATATAAATCAGTCTCAAATCCAACGCTTACGACAGGCAAGTGCTGTTTTTTGATTAAAAACACCTCAAACGGACAT